ACTCATTCCATGTCGTTCAAATTCAATTTTCTCTGCCATCTCTGTTTTGATGAATGAGCTTCCAACTTCAGGTGTCTTTTCAGTTTTCACACATACACACACTACACCCACACGCACTCTTTCTGTAACTGTTGTGTGTTTTTCGTCTCTTGTCTGTGTCCCGATCAACAAGATAACCTCTCTCTCTCTCTCTCTCTCTCTCCTAATAAAACCCTTCATTCAATTTCTTTTTCTCCTCCACACTGCAAAATTAAGACAGTTTTCACAGATTTATGTTGTGTAAAAGGCTTACACAACCAACCACACCACTCAGATCAAACCCTTTTTTTGTGCTTTAACTTCAAGTAAAAGGGCTCAATTAATCTTCTCTGCTTTGTAATTTTATTGTTGTGATTTGATTTGACAAATTAAAGTCGAGTGAGGGTGAAACCCTTTTGGAGGATAGAGATAAAAAGGGCACACGCCATAGCTTTAGAGACAAAAAAAAAAAGACGACTTCTTTAGTAAGTTCACTATCCCTCTTTCTGATTTATCTATGTTTTTTCGTACGTTAGTGAATTAAAGTTCGAATCTTGATCATGTTTTCCCCTTCGAAATGACTAAAATGGAGCTGTCTGTAACTGCTGTTGCAATTTGTAGTTCTTGATATTGTGTTCTGTTTTGATAAGCAGAAATGGGCATCTTCTTATAGTTGATTTTGATCCAGTTTGTGTGGGTGTATAACTGTATAATAAGGTATGTGTGTGAGTGTTGTTTAGTGTTATTTTCTGGGCCTTTAACATTTGTTGCTCCCCTTTGTGTTTCTGGCATTCTGCAGAGAAATCTGTTGTGGTCCTGCAGAGATTTTCTTGATTTTTTCACAGCATTTTCATGTTTTTAGCCCTACAAATTTGTTAGAAAAAAGGGGGAAAAGAAGAATGATAAATGTTATGCATTCACTGGATAGACCCTTAAATCAAGTGGAAAAATGCTTAGACCCCAAACTGTGGCAAGCCTGTGCCGGTGGCATGGCTCGAATTCCTTCTCCGAATAGCAAAGTCTACTATTTCCCTCAGGGCCATGCCGAGCACTCGAACGAAATCATCGATTTTTCCAAATACCCGAGCATCCCGCCACTCGTGCCCTGCCAGGTGTTGTCCGTTAAGTACTCTGCCGATCCCGATACAGACGAGGTCTACGCGAAAATCCGGTTAGTCCCGGCTGGAGGCACGAACATGAACGAGCTCGATTTCGTCGATGAAGAAAATGGATTTTTTTCTGAGGCTAACGAAAGCATCGAAAAAGAAAAACCGAACACGTTCGCCAAGACATTGACCCAATCCGATGCGAACAACGGCGGCGGGTTTTCGGTCCCGAGGTACTGCGCCGAGACGATATTCCCGGAGCTCGATTACTCGTCCGAGCCGCCAGTGCAGATGATCCTAGCCCGTGACTTCCAGGGGCAGATTTGGAAATTCAGGCACATTTACCGTGGGACACCGAGGAGGCACCTCCTGACGACCGGTTGGGGCGTTTTCGTAAATTCGAAAAGGTTAGTGGCAGGGGACTCGGTCGTTTTCGTGAGGGAAGAGAAAGGGGAGATTCGGGTCGGGATACGGAGGGCGAAATCGGGAATCGGGTGTGGGCCCGTGTGCTTTCGAGGGTTTTCTTCGAATAGTAATGGTGGGGGGGATTGTTTGGGGTCGGTTATAGAGAAGGTTCGCGGTGGACGGGCGTTCGAGGTGGTTTATTACCCGCGCTCCGGTGCGCCGGAGTTTGTGGTGAGGGCCTCGGTGGTTTGGTCGGCAATGAGGGTCGGGTGGTTCCCCGGAATAAGATTTAAGATGGCTTTCGAGACGGAGGACTCATCTCGGATTAGTTGGTTCGTGGGGTCCGTATCGTCCGTCGGAGCGGAGAATC